GGAGTTCAAGATCAGACGGGCAGCATGGGGTGAAGCTGTGTCTACTAAATAAATAAATAAAATAAATAATAAATAAATAAAGACATATGCAGCGTTTGTTCTATAAATGTAAAATAATAAGTAAATAAATTAGCCAAGTGTGACGGCACATGCTGTGAGTCCCAGCTACTTGGGAGGCTGAGGTGGCGAGGATCACTTTGAGCCTGGAAGTTCAAGGCTGCAGGTGAGCTGAGACTGCACTACTCGCCTGTAATCCCAGAACTTTGGGAGGCCGAGGCAGGTGGATCACCTAAGGTCAGGAGTTCAAGACCAGCCTGGCCAACATGGTGAAACCCCCTTTCTACAAAAATACAGAAAGTAACCCTGCGCCCGACGAGCGGGCTTCTGGGAACTTGGCAGACGCAGATTAGAAATACTCACCAGCGAGCATCATTGTTGTCTTTCTGGGAACTCATTCCCATGAGATCAGAACCTCTTCGAAAGAAGAAGAAGGTAGATCCTAAAAAAGACCAAGCAGCAAAGGAGCGCTTGAAAAGAAGGATCCGAAAACTGGAAAAAGCTAGTCAAGAGCTAATTCCTATTGAAGATTTTATTACCCCTCTAAAGTTCTTGGATAAAGCAAGACAGCGGCCTCAGGTGGAGCTCACCTTTGAGGAGACTGAGAGGAGAGCTCTGCTTCTGAAGAAGTGGTCCTTGTACAAGCAGCAAGAGCATAAGATGGAGAGGGACACCATCAGGGCCATGCTAGAAGCCCAGCAGGAAGCTCTGGAGGAACTGCGACTCGAGTCCCCGAAGCTCCATGCTGAGGCCATCAAGCGGGATCCCAATCTGTTCCCCTTTGAGAGGGAAGGGCCATGTTACACACCACCAATCCCTAACTACCAGCCCCCTGAAGGCAAGTACAGTGACGTCACCAAGGTGTACACACGAGTGGAGTTTAAGAGATAGACTTGCAGGCTGCTATCCTTAACATGCTGCCCCTGAGAGTAGGAATGACCAGGGTTCAAGTCTGCTTTCCGCAGAATCAGGCATGCTGTTAATAAATACTGGTTTAATCAAAATGAAAAAAAAAAAATACAGAAAGTAGCTGGGCATGATGGTGGGTACCTGTAATCCCAGCTACTCAGGAGGCCGAAGTAGGAGAATCGCTTGAAACCAGGAGGCAGAGATTGCAGTAAGCCAAGATCGTGCCATTGCCCTCTAGCCTGGGTGACAGAATGAGACTCCATCTCAAAAAATAATAATAATAATTAATTAATTATTTAAGGCCGGGCACGGTGGCTCACACTTGTAATCCCAGCATTTTGGGAGGCAGAGGCGGGCAAATCACTTGAGCCCAGGAGCTCAAGACCAGCCTGGGCAACATGGCAAAACCCCATCACTACCAAAAAAACAAAAACAAAAATTAGCTGAGTGCAGTGGCACAGTGATCGCAGCTACTTGGGAGGCTGAGGTGGGAGACTCACTTGAGCCCATGTTGCAGAGGTTGCACTGCAGTGCAGATGTTGCAGTGAGCTGAGATGGCACCACTGCATTCCAGTCTGGTGACAGAGTGAGACCCTGTCTCAAAAACAAAAACAAAAACAAATTGCCCGGGGCGCGGTGGCACATGCCTGTAATCCCAGCAGTTTGGGAGGCCAAAGCAGGTGTATCACTTGAGGTCAGGAGTTGGAGACCTGCCTGGCCAACATGGTGAAACCTTGTCTCTACCAAAAACACAAAAAATTAGTAGGGCATGGTGGCATGTGCCTGTAATCCCAGCTACTTGGGAGGCTGAAGCAGGAGAATCACTTGAACCTGGAAGGCGGAGGGTGCAGTGAGCTGAGGTCACACACACTGCAGTCCAGCCTGGGCAACAGAGCGAGACTGTCTCAAGAAATATATATATATTATTTTTTTGAAGACCTCAGAACAACTATGACTCAAGAAAGGCCAATTAATTTGGCATTACTGGCAATAGAACATGAATTATGAGAAATGTTTTATTATAACAACATAATTAAGGAATTTCCTGAAGTGAAGGCAAGGAAAATTAATTTATGGAATAAATAGATAATTATGAATTGTGTATCACTTTATTACTCATCTAAATATTGCTAGTCCATCATAAGGGTACCCAGGCAATAATATATGTAATAATACATGCAATAATAGCTAAGTTAACTTATCTTGGATATTTTGTTGACTTTGGATCACACAAAAACCATAGCTTTACTTTTTTTTTTTTTTTTTTTTTTGAGACAAAGTATCTCTCTGTCACCCAGGCTGGAGTGCAATGGCACAATCTCAGCTCACTGCAACCCCTGCCTCCCGGGTTCAAGTGATTCTCCTGCCTCAGCCTCCCAAGTAGCTGGGATTACAGGCAGGTGCCACGAGGCCTGGCTAATTTTTGTACTTTTAGTAGAGACAGGATTTCACCATGTTGGTCAGGCTGGTCTTGAACTCCTGACGTCAAGTGATCTGCCTGCCTCAGCCTCCCAAAGTGCTGGGATTACAGGCGTGAACCATCGCACCCGGCCAGCTTTACATATTTTTAAATTTTGTCATTAGAAGATATATTTGTCAAGGTAGGAGGATAGAGCATACCAAACAGCTAGTTAACTTTCAAATATTTCAAATATTTAGATGTATGATATGACAGCCTGCATTTATACCCTGCCCTATCTCCACAAATATTATGAGGGTGGAGGGTGTTCCTTCTATCCCTCTTTAGGTAGCTATTTTTATGTTTATTATTATTTATTTATTTATTTATTTGAGACAGGTCTTGCTCTGTCATCCAGGCTAGAGTACAGTAGCACCATCTTGTCTTACTGCAGCCTTGACTTCCCAGGCTCCAGCGATCCGCCCACTTTGGCCTCCTGAATAGCTGGGATTACAGGTGCCACCACACCCAGCTAATTATTGGAATTTTTTTGTTTGGGTTTTGGTAGAGATGGGTTTTCGTCATGTTGCCCAGGCTGGTCTCAAACTCCTGGGCTCAAGCCATCCACCTGCCTTGGCCTCCCACAGTGCCGGGATTACAGGTATGAGCCATCTTGCCCAGCCATATACCTATCTTTTTAATTTAAAATCATGTTCAGTAAAGATTATAAAAAATAGCCTTCCCTTCTCGTTTGTTTATGGATTTTTTTTTTTTTTTTTTTTTGGGACAGAGTCTGGCTCTGTAGCCCAGACTAGAGTTCAGTGGCACGATCTCAGCTCACTGCAAGTTCCGCCTCCCAGGTTCACGCCATTCTCCTGCCTCAGCCTCCCAAGTAGCTGGGACTACAGGCGCCCACCACCACGTCCCGCTAATTTTTTGTATTTTTAGTAGTGATGGGGTTTCACCGTATTAGCCAGGATGGTCTTGATCTCCTGACCTCGTGATCCACCCACCTCGGCCTCCCAAAGTGCTGGGATCACAGGCGTGAGCCACCGCACCCGGCCTGTTTATGGATATCTTTTTATTATCAGTTTGGAGTCATGGATTCCTATTTTATTCAAATTGAATGGGTTTTATTCCCTTATAGTCCACACCAGTGTATAGAGATTGTCCTCATTGTATAGAGATTGTCCTCATTTTTGTTTTTTTGAGACGGAGTCTTGCTCTGTTGCCCAGGCTAGCGTGCAGTGGCACAATCTTGGCTCACTGCAACCTCTGCCTCCCAGGTTCAAACAATTCTTGTGCCTCAGCCTCCCGAGTAGCTGGGACCACAGGCACGCACCACCATGCCTGCCTAATTTCTGTATTTTTAGCAGAGAGGGGATTTCACCATGTTGGCCAGGCTAGTCTGGAACTCCTGACCTCCAGTGATGGGCCTGCCTCGGCCTCCCAAAGTGTTGGGTGTGAGCCACCGTGCCCGGCCTGTCCTCATTCTTTTAACAGATGCATAGTACTCCACTGTGTGGAGTTGGTGCAAGGATTGTTTTTAGTGGACTCGGTGAAGTGCTGTATCCCACCTCCAAGAGGTTGCCAAGGGGATCTCAGTCACATGTGGATGATATGAGGGAAGAGCCCCCCTCCCCACACGTCCCTCTGATTCTACTGTGGGACTATTATGATAAAATGAACTGGTTTGTTGGAGGTAAAATAAGGCCACACTCAGTGTGCCGGAGGCAGGCTCCCCAGAAGGGACTGGCTGTTTTCAACCTCATCACCCAAGGGAAAGGAGGGATCTGAGAAGGGAAACGGAAACTTAGTAAGAGGGGCCTTTTGTTCTGTCCCTCTGGGGCCTGAGCTCTAATGGATTTAAAGTCACTTGTGGTTGCTCCCTTGCTTAACACCACCATTTATACACAGCCTGTTGCTCTGAGTAATTGACCATGGCTTACAAATCCTTTGGAATCTGGCCTCATCCTTCACTAACCTCAGCCTTCCCTTGAAGAATATTAACCAACTCCTAGCAGCCCCCTGCACATAGCGAGCTCTGTCACACTTCAGACAACACAGCCCACCCCCATTTACCTAGTTACCTCCTATTTATCACCTAAAATGAAGCTAGGCATCAACTCTTCCAAGAAGCCGTCTTTCCTCACCTCAGGCTGGGTTAAGTAACTGTTTTATGTGCATATTTGCACCCTGGTACGCAGCTCTTTGTGTTATAATTATTTGTCTGTCGCCCTCACGAGACTGTACGTTTCTCAAGCACATGACTTTTGTTTTTAGTTATTATCCTGTCTCCAGCCCCCAGCTTAGTTCCTGACTAGTGTGCTGTATCCCAAATCACAATACACATATGCACCGAGTTATGAGACAGAGAAGGGAACTACAATGCCCCTCTTGACCTCAAATCCTGTCTGCCCGCATATCATCCCTAGCTTTGTTGCAAGGCTGTCATTACCCAGGATGAAGTGAAATAGGACCCAAGAGTCTGGCTTCTGCGATTCATCAATCCCGCTTTTCAGTCCCCCATCCTCCCACCTGCTCTGTAAGATAAGAAAACAATTCAAACTAGCGGCACCAGGGGGTGCTCTCAGGCCAAGATGAAATCAAGAAACCACGGTAAACCTAAATTCCAATGTCACATCGTTTTTCCATTGCTCAAGAACCTGCAGTGGCTCCCCATTGCCCACCCTATCTTAAGCTGTTCCCTTATAACCTAAGCCCATCTCATCTGCCCAAGCTCCCACGTGCATGCACCCTCTACCGTGCTGAATTTCTACTTAGCCATGTAACTCATAAGGGTGATGCCAAGGGGTAATGGTGTAGCTAAAGCTAGCCCCCTCTCCACTTAGGTAGATCTGGCTGCGTCAACCACCCACATCCCTCTGGTGGTTGGGGAGCCCGGGGTTGCATGAAAATCATCCTGCACTTTGCCAGTGGCCACAAGTGAGATTCAGTGCCCAGAGCTTCTAGGGGCCTCAGCTCACCATGCACTGCCCTGTGTGTGGCAGTGAAACCCAGGCCCTGACAGGCGCCACGTAAAAATAAATACATAAATAAAGCACTCCAAGTAAATGGATACTGGAAATGAAAGTAGTGGACTAGGCCAGGTGAGGTAGCTCACGCCTGTAATCCCACCAATTTGACAGGCTGAGCCTGGCGGATCACTTGAGGCCAGGAGTTCAAGACCAGTCCGGCTAACATGGTGAAACCTCATCTCTACTAAAAATACAAAAATTAACCAAGCGTGGTGGTGTGCCTGTAATCCCAGCTACTCGGGAGGCTGAGGCAGAAGAATCGCTTGAACCCAGGAGGCAGGGGTTACAGTGAGCTGAGGTCGAGCCACTGCACTAAAGCCTGGGCGACTGAGGAAGACTCTGTCTCAAAAAAAAAAAAAAAAAAAAAGTAGTGGGATTGCTATGTGAATATAATCTCAAGACAAGTCACCTAGCCTCCCCACCAACTCCATCTTCTAGCCGGATGGCTACTCTGACACTTTCTGATAGGGAAATTCTGTAGTTGTCCATATAGGTGCCCCTTTCACGGGTCCCATCTCTCTCTTTTTGCTTGTGTCATTTCCCCTACCTCAAAAGATCATTCCTCGCTCCTCCCTATCTAAACCTGACCTTTCATTGAAGGCTTCATATTTCCGGAAAGACTTTCCTAGCCAGCACAGTCCACATTGACACCCCCTTTTCTGAATCCCAGTCGCACTTCCTGTCTTTACCATACAACTGAGCTCTTGATTCAGCTGTAATTATGACACATACAGTGTGCAGGTTTTGGAGTTAGTTAGATAAAACTTGGTTCAAATTTTAGTTCCTTGGAGTGAAGACAAAATTCTGGAACTTGATAATGGTGATAATTGCACAGCATTGTGAATGTGCTTAATACCACGGAATGCTGACGTTTAAATTGGCTAAAATTCTGTTATGTGCATTTTACCACAATTATTTATTTGTTTATTTTTGGAGATGAGGGTCTCCATATGTTGTGCAGGCTGGCCTTGAACTACTTGGCTCAAGCAATCCTCCTACCTCAGCCTCTCCAGTAGCTGAGACCACAGGTACACACCACAGTGTCAGCTGCTAACACAATTTTTTTTTTTTTAAAGACAGAATCTCACTCTGTCGCCCAGGCTGGAGTGCAGTGGCATGATCTCGGCTCACTACAACTGCCGCCTCCTGGGTTCAAGCAATACTCCTGCCTCAGCCTCCCCACTAGCTGGGGCTACAGGTGCGCGCCACCACACCCAGCTAATTTTTGTATTTTTAGTAGAGATGGGGTTTCACCATGTTGGCCAGGATGGTCTCGATCTCTAGACCTTGTGATCCGCCTGCCTTGGCCTCCCAGAGTGCTGGGATTACAGGCGTGAGCCACCACGCCCGGCCTCTTTCCTCCCCTCTCTACTCCTGGCTCCAATATCAGTCCTGGCAGCAGCAGTGAGGGTCCGAGGCCTCGCCGGGGGTGGGATGGAACCCACCTTCTCCAAGGCTCCCCCTGGGTTGCTGGCAGCCCCGTGTGGCAGGGAAGAGGAACTGCCCGAGCGTCCTTCAGGGAGGAGAGGGGCCAGAAGACAGCAACATGGCGCCCCCAGGTTTCCCACAGGCCCCCTCCTGTAGACCAGCTGGCCCTTCCCTCAGTGACGACTCAAAGTCTAATTTGAAGAGCTCTCTGGGGACATTCCTCTCCCTGGGTGGCGGTATTTTGGGGAGCGGATGTGAACTTCCCTGAAGGGGAGAGGTGTAAACTCCCAGCATCCTGCTACCACCCCCGCCCCCATCACCCTTCATTTCCCCAAGTGCAGGCTGGGGGCAGAGGAGAGGGAAGGGGATTAGGTGCTCGGGCCGGGGAACCGAGACCCAGGGTGTCACCGCTGACAGCAGCTGGCACGCAGAGCTGCAGGGAGACCAAGCCGCGGCCCCGCGGAGCCGACACTGCCATCTGGCTAGAAGGCCCCACTCTTTCTTTAACCAGAGGTCACAGTCTCACTGCCTACCCAGGAGGCAGCCCCGAGACGCCCCCTACGGCCTGGGTTTTCTCCACCCTGTCCCCGCGCCCACCCCAGCTCTGCCTTCCCCGGCTGCACCGCTTTGTAAAGAGGACGGCTGGTCAGACGGAATCACTACGCTGGCCTGCGCTGGGTTGGGCCTGGGGACCGGATCCGGGACTTCCGGAGAGCCCCAGGGTCCCCGCGCACCCATCCACCCGCGGTCGCCTGAGCATTTATGGTAATGTTTGGGTTGGGGCGAGCGGCCGGATCCCCGCCCCCTGCCTCCGCCGGGCGGGACCTCGAGGCAGGCTCCTGGGGAGCTTAGCGCCGGCGCCTTCCCGCCGCGGCCGGGTCCCCTGGGTGGAGACCCTGGGTGCTGGAGGCCTGAGGTCCGGCAGGTGGGCTGGCCCCCGTGCGGAGGCTCCTAAGGCCGGGAAGTACCAGAAGGACAGTCCCCAGTTGGTCTGAGGAGGGGTCCGCGGGGTTGGGGGCTCCAATGGGAGGGCTGTAATCCCCATCAACCTACCCTAACCACCCACTGCTGCCCACCCAATCCCTGCCTCTGGTTTAAGAGTCCATCATCCCCAGTAAGAGTCCTGATGCATCCACATCCTTTCTCCTTCTCTCCCCCCACTCCCTGGCAGGGAAGGGGCGGAGGGAAGAGGCCAGCAGCTCTCAGGGGAGTCGTCGGAATGCTGGGAGCCTGGGAACAGACCCTGCGGTCCCTGGGAAAGCCAGGCTGTGGGAATCCCACCGTCAGCCCCCTCCCCATGATGGGCCACCGGATGTCAGAGACCCCAGTTCCCCAACAGGGATCTTTGTGAGGGTGGGCCCCGCCCCCCCAGTTCAAGCCCCAGCCTGGCTCGACCCCAGAGTTCAGTAGGCCAGCTGTGACGAAGACAGCCCCTCCCCCGCTCTCCGCCCTCTACCCCCCTGCCTGCTCCAACATAATCCTCGCCATTGTGCCCGTTGCCCCCTCCCTCTGCTCCCCCTCTCTAGACCCCTGTACAATGGGGCCTTTGCAGCCTCCAGAATGGAGATGAACTCACGGTTTTTCCAAGTTTAAAAATAGCCCCTCCATCCCCCAGAAGGCCACCCTCCCTCTCTCCCAAGGTGTTGTGGGGTACACCTCCATCCCGGCTGTGCCTCCTTCCTCCTGCCCTGGGTCAGGTGCGAAGGACATGGGTGAGACAGCATCCGGCGGGAGCAGGGCTGCTTCCCCCGATTCAGTCTCTTCCCCCACATCTCCCACAGGCCCCCCAGTACAGTATCCGGTTTCCTGCCCCCCCCCCCTTTTCCACCCTGTTTTCACTCCTTCAGTACAATCCTCTCCTACTCACACCCACATTCTGGAAAAATTCTCCACCTTCCCCCCCCTCCAAAGACCCAGACCGGATCCTATTATCTGGCCTGGCCAGGAGGTTCCCCAGTCTCCATAACTGCCAAGATTGTTGGGACTCCCCCACCCCATGTTCTCATAGCAGCTGCAAACACCTCTTTATCAGCTTCCTTCCTCAGCCCAGCCCACCCTTCTCACATCCTCACATCCTGGTCAAGGCCCCTGGATCCAGAAGGATGGGTTGGAAATCATTAAGTTCCCTATGCTGGAGCTGAGAGAGGACACTTGGGTTCCAGTCTTGCCCCTTCCTGGCCTCTGGGGACAGGTCCATCCTTGTCTTTTTACCTCCAACTCCCCAGGGCTCTACTTCTCCTTACAATGAGCTGAAAGCTCCACCCACCCAGGAGACTGTGGCTGAGGAGCCCAACCAGGACCCCCCCCCACCCCACCTGGCCTCAATTTCTCCACCTGTGATCAGACCTATACCAGAGACATGCAGAGGGCATTATGCGCAGGAGGGTCCCTCACGTCTGAGGGGCCCAGGTCCACCATGGGGCTGGAGGAAAGCAGCCTTCTTGCCTGCAACCCAAGGAGGGAAAAAAGAATAAGAATTAGGACTCTGCCCCCAGGGCCTCTTCTGGCCCTGGCCTACATCTGAGCCAGGCTCTTCCAACCCAGTCCATGTGCTGGGGCCCTGCAGGGTGGAAGGCCATGGCCTCCTCCTCCAACTCCCTTCTGCTGGCTGTCAATCCTGTCCTGCTGGAAGTCCGGCAGCCACCTTCTCTCTCTTGCTGCTGCTGGAGTGCTAGCCTCCGGCCTCTAAGGGGAGCTGAGGGCTGATCCCCTTCACCTTCCGCTCCCCCCACCCTGCTCCCTGCCTCCATTCCTGAGTCCTCTCCGAGGTCCTGACCCCTCTTTAGTTTGGAATCCCAAAGTGCCCACCTCATGAAACCATCCTGAAGCTGTCTGTCCCCTGAGGCTATGACCCACTCCTGAGCAGCCTAGACAGCCCCAGGCTACTGGCTTCCTTAAAGGACAGTCTTCTGTGCTTGTTTGGTGGGGCCATGCAGGGGAAGGGACGTCACCCTGGGCTCTAGGCTCTAACCTCATTTCCCTTTCACTGCAGAGAAAAATCCTCCACCCCCACCTGGCTTCACTCTCCTCCAGCGGAAGAAGAATTCAGAACTGACTGTCCTTGGTGGTTAGCTGGCTTTGTTTTCAGGCCAGAGAGGCGAATGATTAGTTAATGGTGTTAAGTGAAGGAAGGGGGTTGGGCAGGGAAGCCAGCTCCATGCCCAGCCGGGCCTGCCAGGGCAAATGGCATACTTCAACCATTCCCACTCCAGCCCAGCAGACAAAATATTCTCATCTATTCAGCTCTGGGCCTGGGGCCAGTCCATAAATTCACTCCGGAGGGGGGGCCAGGGTCCTCCTCTTGTTCTCCCTGCAGGCTCCAGGTTCCAGGCTCCAGGCCCCTGGCCCGGCGGGCCTGGGTTCTGCACGGCCTCTGGCTGGAGACTAATGGCCATGGAGGAGGGGTCGGCAAAGCTCTGAAAGACAAGGCTGGTGTGGTTTGCCAGTCATCTCTGCGTCATCAAAACGCCACCCCGAGCATGCTCTCAAGTCACCTGGCCATCTCTGGGGTTTGCCGGCTCACCCTCCACCTCCCCCAGCCAGCAGAGGGGTGGCCCCGCTGGGCAACACACCTCTACCCAAATCCAGGCCCCTATTTGGCACTCCCTGGTGAAGGCGCACCAGGAGATGTGGACCCCTTTTCTGAGGCCAGGCTGCTGGGGTCACAGTGAGGCAAGAGCCCCTCCCCCTCCCTAGAGCCTTAGTTCGAGGCCAGAAGACCCAGGGAGAAGTCTTTTTGGGAGAAGGGTAGCTGCAGAGCTCCCCACCCAAGCAGGGCTGATTTGATTCTTCCCTCAGCTATGGACCCACCATCAACAGGGCTGGGGAAGACGGCGTGGGGGTCAGTGCTGCCGGGATCCTTTCAATGATCAGGAACAGCAACAGGTTTGCAGGGTCAGGCTGGGGACCCCTCGCCCATTAACTCTTTCTTCTCCCTGTTTCTTCCTCTTAGGTGAGGGGAAACTGAGTCCCAGGGTAGGCTCCAGAGTGAAGAGGGAAGAAACATGATTCTCAAGGCCCAGGTCTGGACAAGTGTGAACACCTTGGGCCTGCGAATTCAGCCCCCTCCTTCCTTTCTCTGGTCAAAGGCTAGACTTGCAGCAGCTTGGGTTTGAAGGGACAGCCCAGAAGGCACCCTCTCCACTCCCCATACAGGTACCTCTGGTCTGTGGGACTGGCACAGGGTTCTTCTCCCAAAGCTGCCAGCACTGTGAGGCTGAGGCAGTGCCAGGCCGGCGGCAGCGACAGTGGTGCAATCGTTCTGGGAAGCGATCGAGGCCGGCCTGAATTCTCTGTGGCAGGGGAGGGGAGCCAATTGGGAGGCCCCTTGGGCACACCGAGGACCAGGTCCGCTACTGCTCCTCCCCCAGGAGGTCCCCCAGAGGCTACATTGGCTGGCAGGGGCTCAACAGGGGTGAGCCTGGCTGGCTTCTACCCGGGGCGACTCCGGGCATCCGGGACAGCTTCTCCTCGCTGCCACCTCGGTCAGTCAGACCCCTAGACACCTGTCACTACCCCCTCAGCCTTCCCAAGCCAGGAGCCTGGGAGTCCGGCTCCGGCCTACCTCCGGCTGCGCTCCTGGGCGCAGCTCCCGGGCTGGCGGCGCCGGGGCCCGCCCCCTAGGGCTGCGGCGCGCGGGGCGGGGGCTGGGGGCTGCGCGGGGCGGGGCGGGCCCGGGCGCTCCGGGCCCCCTCCCCCGCCCCCCTGACGTCAGCCCCCGGCAGCCTTGAGCTGCTCACTTGGCTCTCGCCCTCCGGCGGGGAAGCATGGGGCTTCCCAGGCTGGTCTGCGCCTTCTTGCTCGCCGCCTGCTGCTGCTGTCCTCGCGTCGCGGGTGAGTGAGTTCGTAGGGGGGCCGCGCCCCGGCTAGGGGTCTACAGTGGAGCGTGCCAGCGAGCAGAGCCAGCGGCGCGGCAGGGTCAGGGCGTTGCGTCCGGGAGGACGCGCCTCCTCCCCGGGTCCCCGACCGCCGGGCGCCTTGCTCACGAGCAACTCTTCTTTGCAGCCAGTTTGCAGCGGGGATTCTAGAGTATCCCGGGAGCAGCACTGGGAAGGCGGGGAGGAGGCTGCTTCTGGGTGCGAGAAGGGGTGGAGCCCAGCCTTTCGGGGTGCTGGGGGGAGTCGTCCCTGAGGTGCTCACTCTGGAGGCCCGCAACTGAAGCCGGGCAGGAGGCGCAGCTGGGGCGCATCCTCAAAGCCTGAATTCCGCGCCCGCCTGTTGCTGGAAAAGGCAGCTTCCTTCGCTGGAGGGGGTGCGCCGGCCCACCCCTTCCCCCTCCCGCCTGGGCATCGCGCCAGGCTGGAGGTGAGCGAGAGCGGGAGGTTCGGCGGCTCCCGCCAGAGCTGGGCGTTGGCATGGGTTGCGGGGCGGTGTGGGTCGCCTCGCGCCTCCCCAAGTGATGGGATCATAGGGGACAGAGATGAGGGATGGAGGATTCCCATACTGGAAGCGCCCGCTGGCTTATTTTGGGGACCACATTGAGGTGGGAAGAGCGCCCGGGCACCTTGGAGCGTTTCTCTGGATCCGCCTGGTAGCCGGGCGCTCTCGGGTCCACGCTGCCCTTGTATGGCCCGCAGCTGTGTCGCGTGTTTCTCTTAGCTCCCGTTCCGCCGTCCCAGCCGCTGTCCGGCTGGGGAAGGGGAGGGCTAGGCAATACCCAGCTCGCTGGCCTCATGCCCAGTGCCAACCATGTCCCTGGGGTATTCCAGGCTACTGCCTCCCAGGCTGACTTTATTTCTGGGGAAAGGGCTAAATCGGGCTCCACAGTTGCAGCCGGTCCAGCTCCACCCTGCCCTGCTCTTCTAGCTCTGGGAGAAGGAGTCAGGGGTCTGAGGCTCCGGGTTGGAGACCCCTCCTTCCACCTGCCCTCCTTGTCCGAGAGCCAAGGCAACAACCCAGGCATCCCAGAGCCCAGGCAGATGGTGTCGAGTGACATCACCTCCTCACAGGGCTGGCAGCACGCTGGCACCACTGACGTCACTCCTGCCCACTGCCTGGCCCTTGCCCTGACCCCTGGAGGAGACTCTGACCTCTCCATCCTTACCAGCTTCCCAGGGTGGGGTCCCGGGTGTGTGCGGAGTGTTTATGGAGGTGCTGCTGAGGGAGCATGAGACGGGAACTTCCGCCAGAGTTAGCCCGCTGGGTCTTGTGGGGTTAGGGCAGGGATTTTGGAGGGCAGAGGGTAGAGTAGTGGTGTCTTCCCCTGGCGGTGGTGACACAAAAGGGCCTGTGTGCCCCAGCCTGGCACATGCCTTGCATTCCCACACTCTGAGCTCACCCGGAGAGGAGGGGGCCTGGAAGGAAAGGGGCCTTCCTCTTGGCCCGGAGCCTGGGTTGCCCCTCTCAGCCCCTCTACCAGCCTCAGCTGGAGCTGCTCGGTGCTCAGTCTCTGCTCAATCTCTGCTCAGCTCCAGGGACCTGGGGTCTCCTGGACGGGGAGAGGGCTGGCCCAGGTGGGGCGCGGGTCGGGGGGTCCAGCGTTCAGAGGACAGGGCCCTCTGCAGACGCTCTGAGTGGCAGGAAAAACAGCTGCAGCAGCGCTGCGAGGGGAGGGGCGGACAGCCGCTGGAGATGACACAGCTGCGGGGGGCTCCGCCTCCCTCCCCCAGGTGTGCCCGGAGAGGCTGAGCAGCCTGCGCCTGAGCTGGTGGAGGTGGAAGTGGGCAGCACAGCCCTTCTGAAGTGCGGCCTCTCCCAGTCCCAAGGCAACCTCAGCCATGTCGACTGGTTCTCTGTGAGTGCTTGGGCTCCTGCAAAGCGCAGCCCGGGGCGGGAGGCTCTGCCCCTCTTGTAGCCCAGGA